CATGTGACTCATAAAGCAAATGACACAGATCTTCAATTTCCGAGCCAGTTTCAATAGCCGAAATAGTGGTAAGGTCATTCGTACCTAATAGCATGATTGTGAGCGAACTTCTCTACTACACATAAATCGTACTCCCTAGTTTTAGAAACCGTTCTACCTACAATCCCCTGCTATCTTCCCTTGTAGAATCAGACACTATGTAGAATGTATGAAAATGCTATGTCTCAAAGCTATGTGAAACCTATGTTAATGAGACATACATTGCTTTAACCAGATCCTATGTTGTTTCTATTCCAGGACTATGTTTTTTGTATCGAAAATGCTATGTTTTCGCTAGTCATACGGAACCTACTTAAAAGCTATGCAGTTTTTTAAAGTAGGAATAAAGGAAGAAAGGACATAGTTTCCACATAGCCCATACATACAATTTACTTAGCTTTTGGAAAGAGATTTTAGACCTCATAGTCAACCTTATAGAAAAGTCATAGAAAATAAATAGCCTTCACATAGGACTGAAATAGACTTTATGTAGTAAAATGGAACAGGGAACAGTTTATTAAATAGCTTGTCAATAGGGTTTGCTTAGAATTTAAATAGCCTAGGAATAGAGGAAACATATGGTAAACATAGCCTTCACTTAAAGTTGACTTATATTTTGCATAGCATTAAAATAGGGGAAAACACAGAACAAATAGTCTTTGCATAGCGGGTTTGAAATAGAATTTTAACAGTATTGGAGTACGCAAAACATATCACATACTCAGCCTTTAACTAGAGTTCAATAGAACTTACATAGAGTTGACATAGTCTTGACATAGTCTATTATGTATGTAGGTTTCGATTTGCTTATAAAGCAAACGTAGGTTTAAAATACGTTTGCACTAATCACCAGAATAAAGAAAATATCATAAAAATGACAGAATGCCTTGAACATTGGTAAGAAATAGTTTTTGAAACAAAAAAATGAAAAACTATGCAAGAATTGCAAATATGTACAGTATAATTTTCATGCAACAGTTTCAGAGAATTGAAACCTCAAGTTAAAGTTTGCTTATCATGTTGACTGTTGGCTGATGTCGTTCTTGTCAGCGCCATACAGTTTGCTTGTGACCGCAACGAATAAGTATCTGCAAACAGAAAAGTGGAGATTTTAAGGCAAATAAAGGTAAGAAACAAATGTTTGTTAAAGCGTGATTGCTGGAATGGTGACCGATCCAACTTGTTGAGATACGCGAAAAGGGAAGAAAACACAAGCAAATCGAAATTAAATTGAGAGAAACATCACTTACCGATGTCACAAATACGTGAACCTGGCTGGAAAAAGTCTTTAAATTGAAGTAATATATAGATTTAGCTAGAGCTAAAAGCGAAGCTGCCGTTAATAAATTCATAATTTAAGTCAAACAATAATAAAACTTGTAATCCACAGATTAGGGCTCATTCATGTGACTTTTGAGACAACGGCTGAGTGAAAAATAATTTGACAGTGCGAGAGTGAAACAAATTTTAGATCGAGTTAATAGTCTTATTTGTACATCTAAAAATAGCAACCATGTTCGATTACAGTAGATTAGACCTTGAAAACAAATAGGCCTATTCGTGTATTGTATTTGCATCATAATGTGGAAATTCCTGAAACAAAACTTTTTATTCCCAAGGGGATTGAATTGGGTACAACATTGAGTCAACCAAATTGGTCTATTCCCAAACAAAATAATTACCGGTAACACAGTCGACCATCACCTTAATGTTATAAGTTAATTCACAGTCTCTCCAAAAACTCCGTTTGAGAGACTATGGATAATTGGACAGCCCCAAAATATAATTTTATGAAATACACAACAGTCCTCGGTGGCGGCCAATTTACACATTCCATTCCTCTGCCTAAAAGAGAGGCCAAAATACAAAATCACCCGGATTGTTTGTGTTCGACAAGTTTACTTTACCAGTAAGACCCCAAGTCTTGGTGACAAATCTGGTGGCGTGTAAACCAGCCTTTTAAACATACTTTTTTCATCACGTCTGAGGTAAACAGTACTATGAGGCGCTTGTTTTTATCATACAGACCTCGGAAAGAATTTTTTCTTTTTTTGCCCTATTTAAACCTGTAATTCTGCAGTTTTGCACAATTTTGAAAGACAAATTGCACTCATTCAATATCTAGGATGATCGAAGCACACGCTTCCTTTGCACAACAAATTATAGCATTGACCACATTATAAAACGTTTTAATGAAGAGAATTCCATACTGCTGGGACTTTTCAGTTAAAATCTGGTCCTATGTGATATGCAGGGTAATAATTATTGGCTTAATTGGTGAAAACGTAAAAAATTCCCAAAATCACCTTTTCGGCCAGCTGGACAGGTTCTCAGTTTTGTCAAGCACGAAATTTGCAGTGCGATTTAATAGAGTTACCATTTACGCTTCAACATGATAGAGAATTCGTTATGTTTAGGTTTTATTTTCCTTTATCTATAAAACTGTTTATGGTTTTGTTATGTGTAATCTTTAAAAGCGAGTGATATTTTCGCGCGGCGTTTTGAGTATTCCTGCATGCGATGTTTAATGACTGAAAACAACTGGTGCAGCAATAAAAATTGCGAGAGGGACTACTAACAATCAATAAAGTAAATATAATTCAGTGAAGCATGTACAGAGACAATAATTTTCATTCACGAAGACAATTATTGAGTGTAAAGTCTCCCTGAAAATCATGAATCAGGTAAGCATAAGCTTATTTATCATAACTAAATATTCTTCGAAACGTTTTCTTTCATTGAATTTGCGGTCAAAAAATGTCAAAAGACTTCTTAAACCTCATACTATTGTAGCTTATAAACTACATGTGTATAAACTTAAGTCGCATAAACTAAGCTCGACCTCAGGAAACCGAGAAAAAACACATCAAGGACAATAATTGCTCAGGCTTACCAGTTGAGATGCTGCTCCTGAAGGTCATCAAGTCAGGCCAGAATCGCTTGAGACTTTTCAACCCTCTTTGAACGCCTCAAGCAAGGGAAAGTGAGTAAGCTCATTTTTGAAAACGATGCCATCCGAAATTGGATTTCCAATCAGTCAGTGTAAAACGCAGACTGCGGAGTGCAGATTGCGGACCAGGGGTAAAATGCAGACTGAGTGTAAAATGCAGACCGAGCATAAACTGTAGTACCTCAAGGGTTTAAGGGCAAAAAAATCCCGAAAATACGTGTAAACAATCATTTACTTGACATCTGCTGTCACAAGTCTATTCCTTTCTTGTCTGGATCGTCGTCGATGACCCAAAAACATAATCGCAATCTTGAACTTTTTTTCCATCCGAGAGCCAACACTTCAACTTTAGGAGGCAAAGTTTGCCATGCATATGACCATGGATTGGTACATGACGATTTTTACGCTTAAATAAAAGCTGCTGACCCAAAACACTGTACAGAAGGAATAATGGCGATAAAAAGGGAGTAAATCATCACCACAAAAAAGACGAAAAGAAGAAAGATGTTCTGCGTGAAATCTGGATGACCTTCAATGAACGTATTGCAAATCAAGGTAGGCAGACTTAAGCTGTTGGGATGTTCATTGAAACTTCTAGCGAATGTGCATTGTACTTTGACTAGGAAGCAAGTTGCTACGTTTTAACTGATATCAGCTAGCTATTTGGAGAAAAAGGAAAACAAATGTTTAAAAAATGCATACTGTTCATCTGATAGATCTTCTAATGATGTGAGGACTTTTTCGCAAACTCCCTGATATTTTCCTAGTACCAACAATCGTTACACATGTATACCTATAGGGAAGTAAATGGGTCATAGTCAAAATGGCAGCGGATGTTAAGAAGGTAAAGCCAATAGACTACATGAACGTACAGCTAATTCTCTGTCAATTTAGGCATATGAAACCAAAACGTCACTATAGACAACCTCAAGGGCACAAGGCAGTTCTCCCGCAAACCGGCATGCTGTAGACCTAACCATTTCCGTATTGCAACGTGGTACAAAGCCCCATGAAAGGGAACCCGCATTCCGGTATCGGTGAAATTTTTGCCTGTGGAATCCGGGATCTTGGGCTTTGGAATCCGGAATACAGCCCAAGGATTCCAGAATTCCTCTAACGATTGAAACCCAGAATCCAAGCTTCACTGACAAAGACTGGAATCCTCCTGAATCCAAAACTGTCTTTGATTCCCTTGCATGGGGCGATAGAAAATGAAAGTTTCCAGACTATAAAAAATGAAATAAAATTTATTAATCGATCCAATTAACAAGGCATATCCCAAATTCTCATGTTCTAATAATCCAAACCCAAAAGGGACAAATCCGTAACTGGAACAACAACAAAAAATAATGCTATTTTAAGATGAAAAATGAAAAGCAGAAATATTTAGGAACAATATGTCTGTCCTAGAAAATAACAAAATGTAACTAACACGACAAGAACTTTTCTATTAATCTCAAACGAAGCATCTCCTGGTATCTTTTCGTTCTAGATTAGATATAAAGTACAAATTTGTACTTGTGTTTGTTCTTATGACTTTGCACAAGATGGCGCTTCATGTCCTCTTGTAAAAGCAAAGGCTCGAGCTCTAAAACTTTCAAAGCCCGTTTCTTAATTTTACAACTTGACAAATTCTGCACTTAACTTCCAAACTTGACTTCTTCCCTAACATAAACACTTTTCAACACTGTTCTTCAAAGATTTGTTAGTTAACGTACGTTTAAGAAACCAATAACGCTTTAGAATAAGGTACACTGTCACATAACGAAACTATCGAACATAGGTACAAGACTTGTACATGTAGGCCCAAGTGGGCAAAACTCGACCTAAACAGTAGACAATTTGGATCAATTTGGGTTTCTGGGAAGCTGCCCACTTAACCCACCCTTAAGACAACATTAACACTTACTTCTCATTTAGGGTAAAATGTTGGCATAGGGGATGGGTAGGTGGGCAGTTTCCCAGAAACCTAAGTTGATCCGATAATATTTTATTAAAGCAGATGTTAACGTTAAATATTGACACCAAATTCTTGTTTCAATTTATTTAAATGGATTGGCTTGAGTTGGCCCTTGATGTCTTCTGTAACGCGAATGCTCTGAGGCCCGATCCTTTCAGAAGTGTCATTCTGGATGCAAGACTTCTTAAGATGAAAATATGTGTTCTCGGGCTTAACAGTGAATCTGAGGCCTGTTGTGCCTTTAGGTATGTACGCCCTGATCTGCTTTCTGCATAACACGATGTTGTACGGTTCGGGGGGTACGGGGTCACTAGCTGTCTTTCTGAATCTATTTTTGCATCCATAACACGTTGTAAGTTTCGATCCTTCCAGCCACCTAATGGTAAACTTTTCCTCTTTAGGGAATTGGTACTCTGTAGGAGTAGTCTGCTCTAAATCCTGCACATTCCTCTCTTGTGCCACGCGGCTAGGACGATACCTCTGGGGGCCTGGTTTTCTTCCTGCCTTCTTAGGAATTGAAGAGCTCACAAGATCAGATAGTCTTGGTTTCCACGATGACACAACATTGCGGAGTAAGTTTTCCTTGTGCGAGGCTGCAATCACATGCGCACAGAGAGTCTCTCTCTGAAACCCTTCACAGTCACAGGTGACCTTTCATCCAACATAGTTGACTATGTGGGGTTTGCGGGGATTGGTTATAAAAACTACAACATTTGTGCCATCGTTGATTTTTGTGACTCCGTTCTTGCTGATAACGTCTCTTGCCTTTTCCCAGGATCCTCGCAGATACTGGGGAAGGCCACTTGAAACGAAATCTGGCAAGTTTTCTGATGGATTAAGTTCAGAGTTGACGGAGGAAAGAAAAGGAGCTTTCGGAGGAGTTGTTCGACTCTAACCTGATTTCGTACTAGTGCTTGTACCTGTCGCAGCAAACGTGAGCAGTTTCTTGTACCCTACAGGATCAACAACGGAGATTTTTGCTGCTTTCTCTTTCTTCGTCATATTTTTCCACTTATCTTCGGTAACTGCCGCATGTTGATAATTTTGAGACAGTTTGTACGGCCCATCTCCAACAACTCCCCTATGAACATTACGTCGATATCGGTTCACAAACGCTTCGGCAATGCTTACAAATTTTCCAGGTGTAGTGGCATGTTTTGACTGTTCGACTTCACTCTTCCAACCAGAATTTATACTTTCTGTACTGTTGTTGTAGAAGAATTTGTCACCCAGATCTGCTGCACGTCTAATTGGAAGGATCATCTTGCATTTCATGTCCTCGGCAATTTGAGCCACGAAGTAGGTATAGAACTCGTCTCCAGTTGGCCTGTTTTCCCAGACGTTCTTCAGTTGTAGCAGCCTTGATTCGAATTCTTCTCTCGATTCTGAATCAATAAAACCTCTGGAAGTTCGGTCTCCAAATATCTCGATTAGATAGTTAGCCTTGTCCTGGACGCCTAGGGCTGCCACCTTCATTTTGATGTTGTCCTCAACGTGCTTCTTACATACAAGGAAATGTGCAATTAGCAGCAAGTACATTTTCTATGGAGCGTTGTCGGTCAGACCCTGCAAATAGAATATTTTCTATGTCAGAGTTCACCTCCCTTATGGTACTTGCGAAGTAGTGGAATGTTTCTTGCTTTTCATCAGTGTGGACCATCATTGGTCCCGGGAAAACAGGGTGATTCCCGGTGGCCTTGTCGATGAGTGCAAGGTGCTCGTATGTTGTTGTTACATAGAAGTCACCTATGTTATAGGTAACATCAATACCAAAAATACCATACTCTTCTGGATTAGAGCAAGACCTAACAACATCAGCCAATTGTTCCTCGGTTGCAAGAACTGCCCTGACACCATGACCAACTTGCACATTTCGCACAAAGCCATTGTTCGAGAGACTAATTAACTCAGCTAACTGATCCTTTTCATGCTGGTTTCGAAGTTTCCTCCGCTCATACTTGACTTGATCTATACTTCTGGGAACATGGATGCTCTGGCGGATGCTTTTCGAGATAAAACATCACCTGCTTCTTGGTAAAGCTGATCATATATTGAGGACAGTCCCATTGAAGAACTCGCCTTCTTTGATATTTTCATTCGTGTACCAGAAGCTGTTGTAAAGAAAGGGCGAGGATTCTTTTTTGCTCTCCCACGTGGTATGCAATTGACGACATCACCATCATTCAGTTCCACAAATTCAATCTTCTTTCCGTGGTGGCGAAATGATCTGTCATCATCCGCTTTATCGTCGTCTCGTTGCTCTAAACTAGAAGTGTCCAAAACAAAAGTGGCATTGGTCCGACAAGCAATAGGCCTTTCTTTACACACCATTTCTTCATCTGAACAGACGAGTATGGATACGAGTTCTTCAGTACTGTAACACTGTGCAGAATTGCTGAAGATGGGACAGTTGTGATTTTCTTTAAAATACTGGATGGTGTCGTCTCTGGACGAAAAAAAAAAAGCCTGTGATTTTTTTTACCTAATTAACGTAGGCTGGAAGCCTCTTATTGTACTGGCATATGGGCTTGCATCTGAGAGCAACATAAAGTAACAACAATAAAGACCATAAGTAACAAGTGTTACGTTTATAGCCGGGGTAGCTAATATTTTTCCAAAGCCCCTCCTAAGACTTGATGGTTGGGAGATGCAAATTCCAGAAATGGGTTACTTCAAGAAGAAAATTTGCCTCTCAAATTCGTATCGGCATATAGCTAGAAGGAAATTTGTAACGGGATTTTATCAGTGTTCAACTTAGTTGATAGTTGATTGTAACCAGGAGTACTAAGTATAACTTTATTACCTAGCTGTAGCGTCCACTTTCATTTCCTCCTCATCTTCCTCAAAAAGAAACACTGCAGCGGCTTTTCCCTGGAAAAATACATTATAATATAATTAAGAGTGAGATTTACCCAGGTTCAAGAAAGCCAAATACAGACGTTGATAAGTTATTGAGTTGTTGAAAGGTGCTCTACTTACCGAATACCAGAATTGCTGCTTTTCACCTCATTTTACTTTCTTTGAGCATCGTGCACTTTGCAGTGATTAACATTTTAACATTATTGACACTAATCGCTAAATTAAAGCAACCTACAAAGATTCGTTTGTATCTTTAGCATGGCTATATTAAATAATAACTATATCTTTAACTTACCACTTCTTGACGCCATCAAAATATTTACAGCAACAACAAAAACTCTTGTAGAGAATCACTAACGAAAACAAAGCTTGCTTTAAATTACCTTTTAACCTGTGTATGACTTACCGTCTTAGAACACGAATCATCTGCTCTCAAACTCTTTTTCTCTGGTGACAAGTTGCTGAATTCTTTGACTAGTGCATCCTACAAGAGCAAATTTGGCAGATTATTATAAGGCACGTTTCATAGTTTATTTATTGGGAGACTTGTGGAATTACACTGGTAATTTCCATATTAAATAATCAACTTCGAAAACCTATTTAATCAATAGTTCATGAAGATAATACAAGCCAATGAATGTTTAATGAGTGCCTTTGTATATGATGAAACACGGCTGGGTTTTCGAGATGAAAGTAATCACAAATCGGTAGTTTTTCAGGAAAAAACCCGATGTTTTTAAGCCATTTAAAGAACTCAAAGTTTGTTTGTATGAAATTACAGCTAAGTACAACTCGAGACAACTCTGGCAAGCAGTCTTTCAAGTTGAAATTATTTGGGAGCGCTCTAATCGCTCTTAATATACGGGGAAATGGATTTCTACAGCTTTTCTGCTGAGGTCAGGCTATAACGTTCACGGTGCTGTTGACTGCTTGTGCTTCTCGTGTTTTTGCTCCCTACCCTACTATCCCTTTGGAAAACTTATGGCAAGTATGCTATAAGGTCCACTGGTTACCAGTGTGACGGTGCCTTGGTGGGTGCCACTTACAGGGTTTTTAAAGTTACACATTTCACCCGGCTGTAGTTCTTGGCTCTCAGGCACCTCCCGCATCCTCGTCTTTGCGGCATCTTGAGCGACCAGAAACTCTTAGTTTTTTTCAAGAAAGTATTGTGCTAAGCACGTCTGATTACACAGGTTGAGAGCATTGTATTCCTGACAATTTTTCCTAACGAGCAACCTTGTCAATACAATAAATACCAGTAATTAGATTATTGATGATTAACCCTGGATGTACATGCAAATTCATACCCCCACCGTGGTACAAGGGGGGGTGATGGATGGAACCCTTTCTACAGTTTTTGAGATGTTGTAGTATTTCGAAATGATTTTAACTTCAGTGGAAAGCCTTTGATCTTCTATACAAGATGAGGTATATTTGATGGGTGGTGGCGCTGCTGGGGGCCTGTGACGTCACCAAAAATAGTCGCCATCTTGGATTTTACTAAGAATTAGAAATCACGTTAAAACCGCGAAAAATGGTAATTTTTTGCGCTTGAGATGAAAAATAACACAAAAGTAAGCACTTTGCATGATTTTAGCAACAAGATTGACTTTTATTGTTGAAAAAAGTTGAAAAAACTTGTACTTTCACTCACAAATGGCTTGACCACCTCGCACTTATGACGTCATATCTTTTAACCATAGAAACTGACCATCACTGAACTTGACTCAAAATGCATGCAAGGAATGAACCAACAGCTACTGAAAACATCAGGTGCTGATATTTTACCCTCTAAGAGAAAAGTCAGAAAAACCTTAAGAGGTGTGGCATCCACCCCCCCCTCCATCCTTGTACGTCCAAGGGTTTCAAGTTGTTTCCAATCGCGACACAACAAAATCTAGCAACCGAAACATTAGTGAACTTCAGTTTTAGTGTACCTCGTCTATAATAATTTTTACTGCATACTCACCCCGGAGTCACTATCCCAAGAGTCAGATTCAACTTCAATCTGAAAATTTCAAAAAATTGAAATATGAATCTAAGGCCTTAATTGTTGAGAAGCGAATGTATCTGGGCGTGATTGGAAACTGTATACAATATATTAACATAAAGCATGCGAACAATACCCCCCAACCAAAATTGCCAGCTAAAACGGTGGTATCCTTTAAATCATTCACTTCACACATTCAGCGATCTACTTCCACTTTGAAAGTAGCCGTTTGGTCTTGTAATAGGGAATTAAAAACCCGCTTATAACAATATTTGATATTTATTGGGCTCAAGCCATGTGTTGCTTTGGAAGAGACCATGTTTAAGTCATTTCATCTGATTTCTTTAATCTCAACTTTTATACCGTTTTCAGAAATCCAGTAGCACGAATGTTTAAGGAAAACTTAGAATTGAATACCAAGTGAAACGCATACGTCAATGTTCAAAACTGGCATGAAACGAAACTTGGTCTTACCTTCGTTTCCACAGCAGTTTCCACTCTAATAACATTTTCCTTGACACATGTTATCTGTTAAAGACACCAACGATTACGTGCATCTCAGTGAACAACAAAAGCGACTAATGTACACTCCAGGGTGTACACTGTACGCAGTAAATCAATAGAAGGAAGGCATGTGAACATTCAATTCAAATATATACCTGCAAATTGTCGTCCTCCATGATTGTAAACGCCGAACGTCCAATATGCTGAGTTGGCAGAGTGCACTCACGTGCGTCCCTTGTCAATCTCGTAACCCGTCCCGCTTGACAAGGGTAACGCGGGCAACGCAGCTAACGCAGACTCTCGGTTCTAGACTTCCACATTGTTTTCTGCTTGTCGTTTCTCTCATTTTCTCTCAGTGCCATCTTAAGATTTCAGTCTGCATTTTACCCCGAGTCTGCAGTCCTCATTCTGCATGTTGCACCCAGCCTGTGTTTTACTCTCAGTCTGCAGTCTGCATTTTACCCCTGGTCCGCAGTCCGCAGTCCGCAGTCCGCAGTCTGCGTTTTACACCGACCGGATTTCCAATGACTTTGACAAGCGATGCATTTCTCAACCAAACCAGCCATGAATTACACAGAACAATCTTGTTAGCAGCTCTATTTCACTTGGTACATCAAGTAGAAAAGACGGTCAAAAACATCACAAGATGACACAAAACCCTGTCAGCTTCAGCTATCAGTAAGCAAGTTTCCAGACACTGCATAAATTTTCCACATGAATTCACCTGTCAAATTTTCACCAATCAGAGCTTGAAAATTGGACGTAGAGCGTGATCAACGCGTGAGTATTGTGAGAAAAGTCAAAAGCGATTGCCTTCCCTGCATGTGAAAGCCGGTTAAATTTTCGCGTGCGAGATCAGTTTGAAATCAAAATTTTAAAAGTGCAGCTCATGAACACAACTTATTGCGTATGCATTTCAAAAAAATTGAACTTGAGCCTGCGATCATTTGAAAAGTAGCTACTTGTCAGCAGATAACTTCAAAAAAACACTCGAACTCAGTGAGTCGATACCTGAGCCTGCGATACGGTCAGGGGATACTGGTCAGCAGATACACTGTTTTGACAGCTGTCAATTAATCAAAACGTGGATGTCAATATCAGGTTGTAGGTTCCCAAACTAGCTAAAAAGCATGAGATTAAACATTGGTATGCCTGTCGTGCAGAAGGTCGGGTGGCTGGTGTACGG